GGGAAAGCACATATTGTACATTGGCATGTATAGATAGTCCAGTTTGGTAATCATACTGTTGTATAGCCTGGATTATCTGGTGAAGACCTAGTGTCACATTGGAAGATAACTTAAATGGGAAAGCACATATTGTAACATTGGTATGTATGTATAGATAGTCCAGTTTGGTAATCATACTGTTGTATAGCCTGGATTATCTGGTGAAGACCTAGCATCACATTGGAAGATAACTAAAATGAGAAAGCATATATTGTAACATTGGCATGTATAGATAGTCCAGTTTGGTAATCATACTGCTGTATAGCCTGGATTATCTGGTGAAGACCTAGTGTCACATTGGAAGATAACTGAAATGGGAAAGCACATATTGTACATTGGCATGTATAGATAGTCCAGTTTGGTAATCATACTGTTGTATAGCCTGGATTATCTGGTGAAGACCTAGTGTCACATTGGAAGATAACTTAAATGGGAAAGCACATATTGTAACATTGGTATGTATGTATAGATAGTCCAGTTTGGTAATCATACTGTTGTATAGCCTGGATTATCTGGTGAAGACCTAGCATCACATTGGAAGATAACTAAAATGAGAAAGCATATATTGTAACATTGGCATGTATAGATAGTCCAGTTTGGTAATCATACTGCTGTATAGCCTGGATTATCTGGTGAAGACCTAGTGTCACATTGGAAGATAACTGAAATGGGAAAGCACATATTGTACATTGGCATGTATAGATAGTCCAGTTTGGTAATCATACTGTTGTATAGCCTGGATTATCTGGTGAAGACCTAGTGTCACATTGGAAGATAACTTAAATGGGAAAGCACATATTGTAACATTGGTATGTATGTATAGATAGTCCAGTTTGGTAATCATACTGTTGTATAGCCTGGATTATCTGGTGAAGACCTAGCATCACATTGGAAGATAACTAAAATGAGAAAGCATATATTGTAACATTGGCATGTATAGATAGTCCAGTTTGGTAATCATACTGCTGTATAGTCTGGATTATCTGGTGAAGACCTAGTGTCACATTGGAAGATAACTGAAATGAGAAAGCACATATCGTAACATTGGCATGTATAGATAGTCCAGTTTGGTAATCATACTGTTGTATAGCCTTGATTATCTGGTGAAGACCTAGCGTCACATTAGAAGATAACTGAAATGAGAAAGCACATATTGTAACATTGGCATGTATGTATAGATAGTCCAGTTTGGTAATCATACTGTTGTATAGCCTGGATTATCTGGTGAAGACCTAGCGTCACATTGGAAGATAACTGAAATGAGAAAGCACAAATTGTAACATTGGCATGTATAGATAGTCCAGTTTGGTAATCATACTGTTGTATAGCCTGGATTATCTGGTGAAGACCTAGCGTCACATTAGAAGATAACTGAAATGATAAAGCACATATTGTAACATTGGCAAGTATAGATAGTCCAGTTTGGTAATCATACTGTTGTATAGCCTGGATTATCTGGTGAAGACCTAGTGTCACATTGGAAGATAACTGAAATGAGAAAGCACATATTGTAACATTGGCATGTATGTATAGATAGTCCAGTTTGGTAATCATACTGTTGTATAGCCTGGATTATCTGGTGAAGACCTAGTGTCACATTGGAAGATAACTGAAATGGGAAAGCACATATTGTAACATTGGCATGTATAGATAGTCCAGTTTGGTAATCATACTGTTGTATAGCCTGGATTATCTGGTGAAGACCTAGTGTCACATTGGAAGATAACTGAAATGAGAAAGCACATATTGTAACATTGGCATGTATAGATAGTCCAGTTTGGTAATCATACTGTTGTATAGCCTGGATTATCTGGTGAAGACCTAGCGTCACATTAGAAGATAACTGAAATGGGAAAGCACATATTGTAACATTGGCCAACACATCACAAACCCCTTAAAACATGTTGAATTATATAAAACAATACAAAAAGTCATGAGAATAATGAAATGAAAGTGATTCATTTGTCTTGAAATATACTAACACAAACACCAGCATATGGTTAAAGCAGATATGAAATGATATATTTGACCTAAAGGAATCAAAATAATTTTTTGATAAATGTATTTGGACATGTTTTCTCATCAGTATTGTAAAAATTGTTTCACTCTAACGATCGTTATAGCTGCTTAATAAGCACTATTCGAATTGGTTGTGACATTATTGGCCCCCACGTGATCTCTCACTGGCCCCCACGTGACCTGCTCTGGTCCACTGAATATGACGTCATTTGTTTTAGTAACGCCTTAGCAACTCTACTGCCGCCACTCTATGTTTACAAAATGCCGCCATGCATACTTTGTGATGTAGTCTCAGTAAACATACAGCCTTATTATCCTACGACCATGTACTGTACCCTATTGAACAATGTGCCCCTATTACAGTAGAGACGTTGGGTACGATTGCTGTATCATATTGCATTTGAACGGCGATACGGCAATTTAAATTTAATGAAATATTTTGTCCTAGATATCGTTTCTTTGTACCCCACGGCACAAGGACCGATTATAGCATATTTTCCCCAAAACTGTGAAATTGAAATGTTCATCATTTCGGCAATATTAAATGTAGAAATAGCATCAATTTTTTATTCATATTGGAAGAACATATACAGAGTAAACATTTCCTCGCGGTCATTTAAATTCCACCGTATGCAATTACTTTTGTAGGTTTGTAATTTAAATTTTCGCTTATTTCGGGCAAAAAACAAAAATGAACTTTGGGGTTGAGGTACTCTCTAGAGGCAAGAATTACATAAACTAGACACGCTTTTAGTTTTAGGTTTATCGTCTTGCACAAACTTTTGGGTTTAGATTTATCCTAACACTGATGTTTTAGGTATGTTAGTCTCAGGTTTTAGTCATTGCTAGATCGCGTCAAAGTGCTAACATGGCTAAGTCCCGTTTGCATTACCATGGTCCCCAGACGGGCAATGATGCCATCGACGATTTAGAAATCCATCCAGAAACAAAATAGAGCTAGAACTTTTAAGTGCCATTTAAAAAAAATCTTTTTTTCTTGACGAAGACACGTACATCATACAAACATCATTCAATTCCATGAAGAAATAAACTCAAATAAAAGTTATCGAGAAATTCTCGAAACCTTTATTGCAAGGTCGTTATTGCAATTCCAAGTGCGCAAAGAAGGCTTTATTTTGTTCCATAATACATATCAACTACATGCCTTCATGTACCTTAGACTGGCAAGATAACATTTTGAGAGGGATCATCCGATCTAATATTATATCAAAGTTTTATTTTTCCTTGGATACCGACAAACCTACAAGTTCCCGTAAAAAAACTTTTCTCCCAAGGAAAAATGTATCGTTTTAACTGAATCTTTCAAAGAAATCATATCGAAAACAAACATTATGTGCAATATTATTGACATTTTTTGTTAAATATACTGGTCATACTTATTACTTAGTAATGTATCTTGTCGGTACACGATGTAACCAGACTTTGTTACTTGTGCCTATTTTCGTAATTCAAAAGATCAGTGAATTGTAATTTGAAGTACTGTTTAGCCAAATGTAAAATTGGTTGTCTGGGTAGGTATCAAACATCATTCTTTCAAAATAAAATAAGAAATGTATTTCAACGCATTGATCGCAGTACACAATGGTTATTTTTAAGTTACGCTGGAAGTTATTCAAATGACTTTTTATCATCACAAGATTAAATTTCGAATTATAATATTTGCTTGACTAGTTGATCCGTTGTAGGCTGTTGTATCCGAGCACAGTCAATATGCAGTTATGATTTTGGCCAAGCCCAAATCATCAAGTCTAAAGAAGAAAATATAGATCATGATTTGAGCTTGCCCAAATCAAATGCATACCGACTGTGTATCCGGACTATAATAAAAAATTTGTTCTCTATTTGTTGGCACAACAATCGTGCGGTTGCTATGACTTCGCAATTTCCATGATCTCTAAGAAATCAAACTAGAAATAATTATGGCGTCATTGATCACGTGGGGGCCAATCTGTTTAATCTGTTATTTTATTATACCGTTATTAAGAGCATTAACAGGTGTTTATCATTTACTTTTAAATGGTTAACGGGAGAAATCCACGTTCGGCTTACAATGCAGAAAACCGCATTTTTCTAGCTGCAAGTTAAGAAAACCTATTTCATTTGTCCTTTAACCTTTAGCATGCTACCGGCGAGCGTAGTCGCCCGTGCTTAACAATCCCCGGCAACTGCCGGCGACTCCAGTCGAATTTAAACTTTCAAAAACTTAACTTTTTCCCGCCGGTCTTATGATCCAATCAGATTACCCGATTTATTCAGTCCTTACGTGGGGACTTCCTGTTGACCTAGAAATGGCGATGTTTCGAAAAATATTTCTCAATTCAACGATTTAAACAGTGTTTAAGTCGTTTTTAGTGAACAAATCGTACAAAATGGCGGCCAAATACGATCACAACGAACATGTGGAGGAAATGGATCGCGGTTTCGAGCTCTTTAGGCTCTTGGAAGCCGATAATGGTAATCGAAAATAGAAACTAGAATATTTTCTGAACTGAAAAATGAACATTCGATCGCTGCAAATTCAGTTTTGGATTCTGACCAGACGTTGAATCTCCACAGGGGCGAAGCGGCGGATTCCGGAGGAGTAATCATGGTATATTTATGGCCAGTCCTGTTTATTTATGTAAAAAATCCATGAGAACATTTTTTTCACGAGCCAGGCCAATGTATCTTCTCTTTGTGAAAATTTTATCGAGATTCATTCAGTAGTTATTGAGATATTAATTATTTAGTCCAGGCATATCATTTTTTGCACTCTTTGAAGAATAAGTCAGTCGCGTGGGATATATTTGCTGAATTAAGTTAGCATGCAGAAGGTTAATATGTAGAATTTATAAGTGAAGTATCTATATTAGAATCAATATCATTCTTAAAAACTTGAAATGAAACCTCCAAAAATGTAAAATCCACACTAATGTACATACCCTATTTTCTCGTAATCTATCATAAAGGGCTTCTAATTTCTTATTTACATCATCTAGTTTCCTCTTCATTTGCTGAAATAAAGACAGAAAACTATAAATGATAAACTCAAAAGTAAATGTATCAAAAAATGTAAGATTTTCGTCTCATTATTATTTTTAAGAAAATTTTTCCTACAACATGATGCAAAGCCTCGGTGTATATAGATAGATACACTACATAATGGGATATCAACAAAATTAATCCAAAATAAAAGTGAAAAAAGTGAATCTATTCATTAAGAATTTTACAGATGTAGTTATCATATGAATATCTATTTTCATTTGTACTTACTGCATTGCTAGCCTTGCCCATGCATTGCTTTGCTAGATTCTCAAATATATCATGTAGGATTTGGTGTTCTGCTGGTATAGGTGCTTTAACAACAGGTTTTGGGGGCTCTGGGGTAGGGGCCTGTAAATACAAATGTAGTTTGAACAACTATGCAATTACATTCACGATGTAATTGTGGACCATGAGGCCTAGAAAGAAATAACAATGGGTATATCACTATAACAGAAGCAAGCTGCAATATCTTCTTTTAAACACATCCTTTGATATATTCAAACTTAAATTCATCATTTTGATTTATCGGAGCCACTTCCATCTATTGTATTCACATCTGTGGGGCAAGAAGTTCATAAGATCAAGCACTGCTTGGGAAGGCGACACTAAATTTACGAAAATGAATTATGATTTAAACCCATTATGAAACAAAATCAGGAATTTCCAAATCAAGCTAGTTTTAAACTGTTAATGAGAAAACGAAGTCCTTTACTGTCTAAATGCAGTATTTGATACTTAGCATTGATATGATATGATTCTTTATTTCTTCATTTTACACCTTTGCATAGAAACAAATTCAGTTAACAAACAAAATAACATTAACAAAGAAAATGAATTGAAATTCAGCTGAATGGCAGAATATTTCAGGCCAGTTATAGCTTTATATCGAAGCTAAGCTGTACACTTAATTATATGACATAATTTACATTAATATAATTTTAATTTTCAGCAAGCAAAATTAATTCATTAATATGTTTACATTTGTTACTGAAGCACCACATCATTGCCATGCAATGTTTTTTTACATTTTAATATGCAATCTTATCAAAACCGCAACCGCAAACCTTCACCAAAATTCCAATATCTTAAATATTCTGAGAATTGTACATTCTTTACATAACTAACAATATCATATTCTAACAGACTCTTTAAACATGAAATGTGTTTTATCACAGTTATAAGTAGGATTTGTGCAATGTGCAAAAGGTTTATAGTTAGCTTGTATTCGTGAATGCAACTAACGCCTGTTGGCTACCAGATTAACCTAGTTAACCTATTTAGTTGCATTCGCGAATACAAGTCCAGTTTTAGACATGTTGCCACCACCTTGTACAACTTATCAGACTTGGTATATGCTACAGTATTACATTCCTAGCAATGCCATTGTAGTGGAGTCCATTACAAAGTAGAAGACCTCTACAGGATTATACAGCACACTTTCATTTAACTATATACTAGTTAACTATGACGTGAAGTATGCCCTATTTCACACCCAAATATAGTCTCCCAAAGATGGCCCATACAGTCAAAATTCTGGCATATTTCAAAGCATAGTTACAAAATCTTTAAGTAAAACCTATCTCAAATATTTCTAGCCTTTTTTGTTGAACACAGAAGTAAACACATTTTAACCCAAAGATTGATAGTCTTATATCGGCATCCTCCTAAGCAGGTGTCCAGAATCCGTACCTCCTTCTTCCCCCTGCTATAAGCAGTTAGCATTTCCCCGATTAAGAACTCGCAATTTGATTGGCTGTCGCAACACTGCGACAGCAATCATGTATACGTCATCGGCGCATAATTAGATCACGTGATTCAGTTTAATCGGGTGCGTCCAACTTGGTTATAGCAGGGGTAAAAAGAAAGAAGATATTCTGGATTTTGAAGACCTGTGATTGGAGGATGTATATCGGAGAAATAAGGACATCTGCATAGCAACAAGAATCCTAACTGAGAAAATATTGATACATCTACAAAGACTGATGAAAAGGAGGGGGCAGATCTTTTTCGCTAGCCAAAACATTATCAAATACTCAAGAATTTCACAATTTTTTATGAAGCCATAGAATTCAATTCACTATCCAAACATTATCAAATACTCAAGAATTTCACAATTTTTTATGAAGCCATAGAATTCAATTCACTATCCAAACATTATCAAATACTCAAGAATTTCACAATTTTTTATGAAGACATAGAATTCAATTCTTTACCCAAAATGTAATACTTTTAGAAGGTTTAGTTAAGTGTAATTCCGATTTCAATATTTCCAAAGTCGTGAGAGAGCAACAGCAAATAAAGTCAGCAATGCTAAATAGGTCAGCACCATTCTCTCTAAAAATACATTAGTGATTTATTTCCATGCCAATCCAATGCCAATTCCACTCTTCGTATCAAAACAGATCTCCATTTATACAAAGGATGTGTCAAGCTGACTTCCGAAAACTGGGACTATTTTTCGTACCATTCCACAGAACTTCAAATTTTTTACCCATTTTTTAAGATTTTTTTAAGATCAATTTGACATCATAAAACGTTTCAAACTTAAAGATAGTTAAGTGATTCAAGTTTAGAGATAATTCTGATAATATGAAAAAGGTAAGAAAAATCTTGAAATCTCTATTTTACCCGATAGAACTATTTTCACTCAGTGGATTGTTAAAGGGCTATAACATGTAGCTTTTCATGTCAAGTAAGGGACATCTTAAGTTTCTCGTTTAACTCTACAAATAATCTATGCCATCATGAGCAAAACCACCCACCCTTGTAAACAAATATGACTTTTTAAATATGAAAAAATACTCTTAAATTTTCATACTTTTCATTTAACACAATGGCCTTATTCACTCAACCATGAAACTGATTATGTGTAGAATTAGTTTCAAAACATAAGACGACGCGTAAAGTGTAAGGAAAGATTCAAGGTCATGCAAGCAGGTTCGTTGTTTGACTCTTACTCTCTCAGTTGGTGGAACACTCCCTTTAGGAGGAGCTTGGAACTGCCCCGTTGACATAAGTGGCGCCTTCATTCATTAAATAAAAAATGCAATTTAAAGAACCACATACAACTTGTATTTATTAATGTATGTGGTAAGAGGTATTAAGTTTGGAAAAATTTGGAAAATTAAAGCGAAGTGACACTGACAAGTGATATATTGATAAGTGACACATTGATAAGTGATATATTAGAAGTGATATATTAACAAGTAAGACTTAGGAAAGAATATATAGCTGAACATATAATAAGATAATGGAAGATTTTTGAGAAGCAGTGAGAATTGAGATTGATAGCTCCAACCCATGCTGGAGTACACAAGGACTTCTAAAGCAAAGCCACGCCTACTGAATATAACACTGTACTTATAATGAACATGAACAATGAATATGCAAGAATTTCTTTTTACAATGTCAAAACTTCAGCATTTTGTGACTTATGTCAATGGATCATTTTTCTGATAATGCGACCCAATTAAAATAGAAGAAACAATGTCAACTCCCAGCATGCTTACTTGTTGCTGTTGTTGCTGCTGCTGCTGCTGCTGGGATTGATAACCCTGCTGTTGTTGTTGGTAACCCTGTTGGGAGTACTGCTGGGGGTTATAGATCTGCTGCTGGTCCCCGTAGGGAGCCCCTGGAGGACCCTGTTCTGGCATAGCTGACCCTGGGAAGGGGGATGTGATGGGAGCTTGAGCTTCATACGTCGATACAGCCTGCATGAAGCATATTTTGTCATAAGGTTTATAGTTGATAGTAGAATAGTGGCATGATTGAAGAGTAAGCAATATAATACAAGGGTTCTGAAGCTCAGTTCATGAGATTTTGAAATATTCTGAAGACCTAGGCTAGAAAATCCTAGAAAATCTACATTGTACTGCTTATTCCTTTATTTCATCTATAGATTTTGGAACTGAGGCATTACTCACTCCTATGATGATGCATTATGGAAAATATCAGGGGAAGTTCTTACCACTTTTTTCTTGCTCTCAGTTGGGGGAGGTGGATCATTCCATCCGCTTTTGGGGGGCATTTCTTGATAAGAGGGCATTGGTGGTTCAGATGAGGATGAGGGCTGTCTGGTGTTTGACATATCTGGAGCACCTGAAAAATGGGTTGTACACTGTAGTCAAGTCTTGTTAAAAATGATACAGTGGAAGATCTTTTCTTAGCTACAGTGCTCATTTATTGATGATTTTTTATTTTATAATTGACCAATCCCTAAAAACAATTCAAAAAAAAAAGAAAGCATTTTTCTACATCTCATACCAATTGAGACATCAAACACGACCCTTCCTGCCAAGATGTATACCATGTAAAACCTTTAAAACATATCTATAAACATATATATTTTGTTCTGCAACATATAAAATAAAACAACTGCCTTATAAGTGGTTGATGTATATACAGGGCTTGCATTAACGGCGTCCCGTACATGTTAAGGACTCAAAAATAATTTGTAGGACGCAAAAATTGAAAATATTTCCGTTTTTTGGACGTAATCTTTTAGGTCAATACTACAATGTGTTTACAACGATACCTAACAAAAACAAATAATTATGATCTCTCACCTTTATTTGAATCGTAAATAAGGCTCAACATGTTGAATATTTACAAATAATCATGATTCTCTCGAATTTTTTCGACTTTGTTTATTTTTAGATTTGAAACCATGACACGCCACAGTTTTTCCTATTCAGAAACAAATATTAGGTTATTCATAAAATAAAATGTATTCATTGTCAAATGAACGAACATGCATTTATTCAGTCCGTACTTAACGTTTACTTCCGTTTTAAATTCGCGGCAAGAAATCAAAAACTGAAAATATGACTAGAAATAGGGGACACAGTTTTTTTTTCAAAGGACACACTTTTTTAAAAATAATTGCGTCCTTGGGACTCACAAATTTTCTAACCTAATGCAAGCGCTGATATATGACATGTGTTTAGTGATGATATGAAGTGAATGTAACGAGGCAAAGTAAAACATTAATTCTCATTAAGAGTCATAATCTAACATGTCTAAGAGAGTAAGTGTATCAGCAATGCACTAGACTATGTGCAGTATGGTGAAGAAGATATTCTAGAGTAAAATGCTGAAACCAAACATTGCTATGTGTGATATTATCCAATATCAGACCAACCTAGCTCCTGGTCCATGTGTTTACTACTCCTGCGTAAACTTTTTACGATGCCATCTTGCAAAACAACAACAGAATGGAATTAATTTTGGGATGCGTATTGTGAGGGATGTAATATAATGAATGTTTCATGAGGAAGTAGAAAAATTCTGTACATGACTTGACATTAAAATAACTTATAAATTCTATTATGGACTTTTAAATTATTACATTATACTCATTCACGGCAATGTCTACAATTAAGATTTGCAATTTCACATCAAACCACGTGTATGTATGTTGATAGTAAAATGGAAAACATATAAAGAAACTACATCACTGAAAATGTGACAAAACAAAATGTACGAATCATGATCTATGAAAATTAAAATTCTGAATTAAGTATTAAGTACTAGAAAAAATAACTTGACAAAATCTATAATTGTGTTTCAAATGTGACACAAAAAACTCAATTCGTGACAACAATAAACTATGGCACAACAATGAAAGTGTGAATGAATCAGCATTGATGTTTGACCTGCTGCCTTTCCCGACTGACGGAACAATTTCCTGAGACTCTCGGCTCCTCCAGAGTTGGAAAAAGCATCACGGAGACTCTCAGCGTAAAAATGGCCATCCATATCTAGTTTTGGAGACTCAGGAACTAAGCATGCATGACAATGAGAGAAAACAACTAAGAACACCTGTAACAATGATTTCAATTGTTGACATTTTTTGTACAATATGTGCTCCTGTATCCTAAGCCAACTGATATGCCTAATATTTGTTAAATTCTCTTTTTTATACCTCTTATGGTATTGATACTAATATAAATTGAACATTGGAAAATCCTTACCTGGAGCCATAGGGTTATAAACCTGTGGTTGAGAGGTGGTGGCAGCGTTGTTATAGCCCCTATATCCCCCCATAGTGTCTTGACCATACATGTAGCCAGATGTGGAGTAAGGATTGGACGTAGCAGGCTGCTGTCCCGCACCTGCATAGTCGTTGGGGTTGTAGACATTGCCATAAGAAGAGGCAACACTTTGGGCAGATACTGGGGGGTATCTTTGACTTAGTGGACCTGCAAATAAAATATGAAGGTAACAGTTGTACAAAGATAAAGGCAACATTAAGACAGCAAATCCAATTGGACATCCAATAAGCATCCAACAAGACTGCTAAAAATCATTCAGACCACCATTATTCCAGATAAGTTTCCAAATGAAACATGCTTACACATAAAATATAAACAAAAATCATTCTAATACTTTTTAAGTTATAAAAATGTAAAATAACACTTTAAAATGGTATTTTTCAAAATGGCCGACATATTTACAAAACAAATGCCTCAAGCATTTAATCTTTTAAAGGGCACATAAAACATATTGCCCACAGCTATATATTGTTAACATAGCTGTACATATTGGTTAACTCCACTCACCTTTAGAGGCCTGTGTTGCAGCAGGGGCTGTCTGATTATATTGTGTTGACTGGGCACTGAAGGTTGGTTGTGGTTGTGCTGAACCATTAAACTGTGCATACTGAGCTTGGGTGTTGTAGTTGTATGTAGAACTAGGTGTAGTGGTTGTACTAACATTCCCCTTGGCTTGAGTCTAGGAACATACAAAAACAATACATGAAGACATTGAATGAATTGGACAAGGGTCCTTGGAGCTTCAAATATGTCTTCATACCATTTGTTACACTCTGACATGGCAAGTAGAAGTAGTATATCATGGAAATTCAAGATGGTCACGAGCATAACCAGGTAAAATATTTCTCTACAGTAACCCCAGAATTTTTTTCAGAATGGTCATTTGTCCAATGATATGAATATGGATTTTTTGCATTGATAAGTCGAGTAAAATTCATGTGGCATACAAAGCAATTTACCTGGTAGAAAGGTTGTGTAGCCTGTGGCTGGTTCCTTTGCTGCGAGTGTGCTGGTTGCTGTGCAGCTTGGGGTTGTTGCACAGGTGCTGCCCTCTCTTTCTGTATGTTATACCTCTGGAAGGGGCAAGCAGGGGCCTGCACACCAGGGACTGTTTGCCCAAGGGACTGGTAGAGTCGATCACGTAGAACCAGCAGTGTTGACTGTAATGAAGAGATACAATGTGCTATTGTCACCTTTTGGCTCAAGTTCATTCGAATTTGATTCATTTGTGCAATGAAATAAACTCAATATTTATTAATATTCATGTCATGATCTCTTATATCTCAGATTAAATCCAAAAACAAGACATTTTCTGGATCTTTACTCCATTAAACAAATCGTTGAAAATAATTTTTACTGTACAGAGTAACAAGTCCTTTCTAATTAAAAAATCAGAATATAACATAAATAAATGTTCCCAATGTAAATACCTCATTAGAATTTCCCAGATATCCCATGGCAGTTGGGAGGTTGCCTTGGGCAGCTAACAACTCAGCATAGAGACTAAGTTTCTTCGCTAGGATTCCACTAGATATGTCTGTTTGTCCCCGAGCAGTCTCAACTGCTTTGCGCAATATCATTACTTTCTCAACCAAGTCCTGAAAAGGAGATTTTAAAATCGATTCAGTTGAATACATTGGTGCTGGTCCATATAGTTTCATCAGAGAAATATATCACCTTAGACCTGCTTCAAATGAAACAGTCTTTGAGCTTAAAATGCAGAGGATAAAAACTTTGTGTTATTGAATTTTTGATCTAATGTACATTAGATCTAGATAAGAGAAGTGACTTCAAATCTCGATCAAATCAAATGTAAAGAGGATGAAAGAAACATGACACACTGACCAAAAGTTCATACAGTGCTTTTGGGATGCATGATAATCTTACCTGTAAAGCTTCTGGGCTGTTATTGTTCTCTGTATTTTTCTCCCAGCAGTCAACGAGTCTCTCAACGTTACCGGCACAGATGTAACACAACATTGCATGAATTGATAGGCGGCCATGTTGCTCAGACTCTAGTCTTGAACCCAAAATATCTGAAGAAAAGTATGAATAATTTAATTTTTGTTTTTCATCTGACAATAGACCGTTTCATATTCAAAAAAATTTTCAAAGTAAAAATTACCTTCTTCAATAAGGAAATCTTTATAAAACATGTATACTTGAAGGACTATTAAAGGTGGGAAACAAGTTTTGAAATGTTTTGTCGTAAATGGCCAAAATCGAAAAAAACACTAAGGAAGACGCTTATTTTGGATCCGTAAAGCTCAAATCCTGTCTATGACTAATTTATGGGTTTATGACCCTTGTAACTACAGTTGTACATACCACATAGAGTTGAGAACTCATCAGCACTGGCATAAGTGAGAGCTGTGGCTAGAGCCTCTTTCCAATTATCTAGGTCACATGTTCTCACAACATGCTCCCAGTCTCGTGTCACAACAGAGGAAATCAACTGTAATAAACAGAAGTTATGTAATTTTTTTGTCAGTTCTTTATATCACTTATTTAATTAAGCATTAGCAATGAAAATGTCACCACCTCCCACTTGTTACAGACACCAAACTTTAAATGCTAACCACCAACAACGTCCAAAAAAAAGTTGGAGACTACAACAATATGTTACAACTTGTGGTGACATCATAAAACTAAAACATGTGAATGTGATGATGCCTAGTTCTTTTTATGTCTTTGTAGCATTGAAAAACTAAAATGTTCCAAGTTTAGAGAATCATTTAAAAAACCTACCCTGGTCAAATTACTCTTATTAGATCTGAAGTACTTTTTCTGTGTTCTCGCCAGCAGTTCTGGTCCTCCTGCGATAGCCAATAGGATTGCTTCAGCCATTCTGTCGTCATGGAGACATACATCTACAGCAGCTTCAAAATTTCCTGCCAAAACTGCTTGACTAATCAGGCCATCTGAATCTGTGAAAAAAACATTAGAATATATATACAGTATATTCTTTTAGAATATGTTACTATTGTTATCATATTTTTCCGAGTTGTACTTGTTTTAAAAATATGATAATAATACATCATGTAAAATATCTGGAAAGTTATAATTTTACCATCTAAGATTTTCTTGGTGATATAAGATTTGTAAGTCGTGAAGAGTAAGTCACTTGTCTTGAAATTATAATGTGTGCCTCCCATGATTTCAATTCCCACGTTCAAAAAGTAATCTAGTCTACAATATGAATTAAAATAAGTGCAACCCTCAAGCCCTATTTTCTTTCCATAAAGTAAAGACACAATGCATTTACATGTAATTGCATCGACAGTAAACCCAAAGTGCTCACAAACATTAGCTTGTCTTTCTGTGCAGAGTAGTGACTTAATGAACACAATCCATATACTCACACTTGAAAACTGAGAAATGAATCAATTATTTATTATTCAATTTTGCAATTTAATTAATTCATCATGGAAAAACACATGGATTGGGACAGACAATCCAGTGTAATTTAAACAATTAAAATAACAAAAGATAAGATATTCAATCCAGTACCATTTTGTCCAAAATATTTTGTGCCTCATCGTCTAAAACCTTCTACAATGATAACTTACAATTTTATTAAACCTTTGAGAAATTACTATGCTGTATACAACTAATAAAATATCTATAATTTTGGGGGAATTTCATTAATCCATAAACAAAAGTGTTGCATTCTTTACTGAATAACAGTTAACATACCATCTTTTGTACTGATGGTAAATGGGGAGGTTGATCGGGAGTCTTGGCCCATATCAGCAGCTATTTGATCAAATGCACTGCTGCCCTCTGCACTTATGGAGTCTGTATCAGGAGTCTAAAATATACAAGAAAGCATTGTGAATATTCAGTATTACAGGAAACTATGGGGTGGGATTTTGCCATTACCAACAACAATGTATTCACAAAATATAAACACACAAGTAGGCAATTCATGACTCATTCTATTCTCTATTTCAAAACAAAATCTTCAACTGTAATTCTTGGTGATGCATCTTGTTAAAATATGAAATATGGAATAATATGACAAAATAAGGTAATATCTGGACTAAGCACCCCATTAAGGTAAAAACCAGGGGAGATAACTAGATATAGTAGTAAAATATAATACCAATGTTATGTGCCAATTCTATGACTTGTTTTATAATTACAAGTTGAAATAAAGCACTATTCATGCAAATGTAACACTAGACATTTAAAGCTAACACTAGAGATGAGACACTACAACACAAAAATTATGCAAGTTTTTGGAAACTTACACAGGTCTTTAAATAGTTCACAAAAGCAACACAATGACACAATGGAGATGGTGCACAACAATACTAAAGACACTAATTGTGCTATGAATTAACAAGTAAACATGTGATGCATGTGTAAACAGGTCAAGTAAACATGTGAAGCATGTGTAAACAGGTCAAGTAAACATGTGAAGCATGTGTAAACAGGTCAAGTAAACATGTGAAGCATGTGTAAACAGGTCAAGTAAACACGTGAAGCATGTGTAAAAAGGTCAAGTAAACATGTGAAGCATGTGTAAACAGGTCAGTCATATTTTTGAATACGACATTGACACAAAAGTTAGAGTTCACCTTAGAGAAGCTTGCTGTGACACAACACGAAGTACATGCAAAGACAAAACGCAATGGCTCATTTGCTCAAAATAAGCATGCAAAACAATCAAATGAGAAAATACCATATTTTCTAAGTATAATGTTCAAAGGTTACTACAGCATTCATCTTGGCTTGATAGTCTTACAGGCAAAAATGTAAGTGACTAGCTAACAGGTGTTAAAAGATTGTAAACAAACAGGTTTATTTGCACACATATGGGAAACAAGGGTGAGTATAGAGGATTTCTGAGCTACTGACTGGTCAACATTTTGAATTATTATATACCCAATATGTAACACTAATCCTGATTGGTCAATACCTAGTCACGTGTTCCGAAATAGATTTACTATTTCCCTCGGAAAGTTATATTCCCTCAAATGTGATGTCAGCGGGAATATACATTTGAACTATTGCCCGCTGACGTCACAATTGCAACTTCTATTACCCTTGGAAACGTCTGCGCATCATCACTGCGCAGACGAAAAACAGAAAAATGGAGGATGAGCACAAACACAAATCAACTCCGTTCACCATGACAGACGTGCATGAACGATACAATATAAGCAACGTGTATAAAGTTCCCTAAGCTCAATACGTCTGTGTAATTTCAAGTGTTATGATAATCTATTCCGCGTGTTAAACGCGATTGAATTTGTCAAGTGAGAGTCTCAGAGGCAAAAATTTCTGTTGAGCATCTGATGACGTCACAGCTTATAATGCTACTATGGACCCGGGGAGGGGGCTTTCTAAGCCTTTTTGGCCTTCGCAGAGGAAACGGGACAAGAGTCAGTATAGGGTATATAATAAAACAAATAGTGACTGCCTAATTTCGAGCAATAGTGTAAATGATTTCCCCTTGGGAATATCCTCTACAATGTACTATTCCCTCAGCCTGCGGCTTCGGGAATAGTACATTGTAGAGGATATTCCCTCGGGGAAATAATTTACACTATTGCCCTCAATGGCAGTCACTATTTGTATACTAGTGGCTAATTGTGATGGTATAGTCCTTAACTACAGGGTGTCAAATGGCGTTGTGCCCCCCTTCCACAGCATAAACTAGGAGAAGTACACATACATTATATATATCATTAGAAAGAGCATTCAATTCTGGATAAAATGAACCCAAGATGACCAGAGTCAGATGTTGCTACAAAGTTTCATAAGCATTTGAAATGCACCAGTAGAGTGCTATTTTATTGATTTTTAAAAATTCCTGCATAGACCTTTTTGGTATTGGTGAATACCCGAGCAACAACTCTGACTTAAATGCTTCAGTTCAAATTGAGCCCATATAAATGGATAAAACAGAGCTACTTATGGAAGTTGAAGCTGTAGAGAACAGATATTCTATAGATACCCTCCAGGAGAACCTCAAAAAGTATTGAGATCTCTGCTCAAGACATTGCTCTTTTCAATGCCCTTTTAACTTGATATCCAGCCTGACTGTCAGCTGTTTAAAGCTGCCGGGGATGGTCAAACTCTCTTTTAAAAGTTGATTCAAATTATGTATTATTTTCTATCATCCATCTTCATCTTTTCACACTCTAAGAACAATTAAATGCTCTTTCCAATGGTATATAGTATGTATGTGTACCTCTTCTAGTTTATGTTGGGGATAGGGGGCACAACGCCATTTGACACCCTGTACAACATGCAGTAATCATCAACTGGTGTTGAGTCAAACTCAAAATGAATAAGGATGTGAAGGGTTCATTGTCGAGGAATGAATGGCCAATCATGATTTGAAAGAGGTCACAGTTTGATGAATAGTTTGCTTTAATGAATGTGACCTGTAACTACTCTGAAACCATGTTGACCATCGACCTCAGATTGCATCGACTCATTTCACTGGGAGTAATAAAGATATATAGAGACCAGTGTGTGCCTTGATTAAAACTAAGCTCTAAAAGGGAGTGCATGGGGAAACGCATCACCTTTGATTCCATTACATTGGGGGAGGCAGCCCCGCTAGACACAAAATCTCCACTCCCTGGGCTCTGAAAGATCAACCATGAAGAGATATGCAAACAGTCTACAACCAACACCAGTTTAACATGGGTTATCAGTTCCATTTTTCATTTGATTTTTTGAACTCTATATTTACTCCAAAATATCATCCTGCAGATGAATAACATCAAACTGCTTGCACTTTTGATCATTGAGAAATTATATCTACCATGAGATATCTTGATATGCGATGACTTACATATAAATGAAAAATCATAAATAATTTAACAAAGCAAAATTAAATCTCTGCTCTACATTTCAGATCTATCCAGGCTAAGAATTAAATAACCATTTTCAAGCATAATTAAAGCATGCAGAACTTGAAAATATCATTTCAGAAAAATAAGAGTTATTTAAACTTGGAATAAATATCTATTAAATAAAAAATAAGATATAATTATTGAAAAATGATCAATATTTATTGAATAAATATTATATGCCTACCAACGTATTGAGATCATTCATCTTCTGTGCCAACTCACTGGCATCTACTCCCTCCACATTTGAAGAGTTCGCAGGAGTGCCGATAGATTCCGCGACCTTTCTAGACAATTGAGATGGATTGTACCCTAAGAGTTCTAAAAATCTGCTACGTGAATCTTTCTCAAAGTTCACCTGAAAAAAAAATATACAGCTGTATGTGGAATAAGTCGAAGAAGATTAAGATTTCATCTTAATAATCTGATCTTCGATAAAAAAAAACTTAAAATGAATTTACCTTCAAAAAGTTCCACTGGCTTTCCTCGTTGGCTGTCTTACTATTTGCCAGCTTAAGAGCGCAGAATTCTGCATACTGCTGGTTCGCTAGAGCACTTTCTAGCTGGTGTGATGATGCAATTAAATCTGTCTCTGTGACAACCTGACTTATAAGGACTTCCCGAGCAGGAAGTTGCTGAGGATTTTGGGGTTTTTCTTCACCAAATGTGATTAACTTGCCACCAAACTGAAAATATTATAAATAAAAAATATTTACAACAGTAATCAAACAGAATGACTGAGACAATGTTTTGAGCTATGTAATAAAAAGTATCAGATAAATATTTGTAATTTTCATAAAGTAGAAGGATTGCTGAATTTTTTGCTTCAGCTTATATAAGTTTTAGTACTTTTGTGTTTTCTATAACCCATGAATAACCCGAGATTTTTGCAATAAATTCTGTGGACATGTGGACATAATATTGAACAACAGGACAGCTTCCGATTGCAATGATGACATAACTACCCCTGCTTGTACTTACCCCAAATGAGGCCCCCACGGGCCTTCTTATCCATTTAGGAGGTTTCTTCAGAGGGACGACAGCTTGCTTCACTGCCTGTTGCTGAGGGGCCTGCGAGAATGGATCATTTGGAAAAGATTCTGCTATCTAAAATAATAAAGTTAACCAAATCAGATACATCTAATATTTGTGTTGTTCACATCAACCAAAGACTTGTTTTATACAGATATCTGAAGTATTTTTTATCTATATGGTTATGGTAATAAAAATATACTGGATTATAAAATACACAAAACATGTTTAAAGTGGACACGATTTGTATATATCTAAACTGCAACACTCGTATAGGGTCTATGATGGAGGGGTTTCATTAGCAACAGGCAACAGGCGATTTCATCGATTGTTTTCACAAAATTGCCTGTTGTTTTGAGGGACTTTTCAACTTTTCCATGTTAAATTAGGATTTCCATTAATTTTGCCTGTTGTTTCCATTTATTTAGCCTGTTGTGAGAAATTCTAGTGAAACCCCTGATGATGGATTGAAACACAAGAGTGGTTCATTGTGTAAGAGTACCAATAAAATACAGTATAATAGCACACTTACTTTAGGACTGAGGAGTTGTTCGGGTTGCTCTCCGCCCATGAGGGAGTATATACTGATATGACCATCAAAGGAGGCACTTGAAATGACCCCTGGGTTCCTGGGGCACCATTGTACATCAAAGCTCCACTGGTAGCTTGTAGGTAGCTCATATACAACCTGCAGGCAAATGCCATTTGATGAGGTACTAACTCAATCTTTAATGCTTTTATATTACATGCAGTGCTATCTATGAGGCGATATTGATTGATGTTGCCATCATGCTCATACACATTGCATAATTGACTTTAGATCTGCACAATCTCCCATTATTTTACATGGGCACTCCATTATTAGTGCGCTCTCAATAGAGACATCACTCACAAATGTTAAGAGATTTTGTGGAATTACAATGTATAGTTCAACATTAAATATTTATTTCCTCAAACGCTTTCATAAAGGGGGCTCTGAACTGAAATGCAATGGTTCTACAGAGACTTAAAACAGTTAAAGATCGATGATGTGTCATATCCACTGCAAAAGTGATGAGCACACATTTCTTACCTCGCCACCTTGGACATTACTATTTGGATTCCAGCAGAGTATCCTATTGTCTTTGCCACAACTGAGCAGTAGATCAGGGTCCTGTGGACACCAGGCTATTGACAAGATCCCCTTGTTGTGGTTCTCCAGGACTTTGACAGGGGATGTCGCAAATCTGAGATCCCAGAGCTGGATTACTGGAGTGTGATCATCCTCTGATGCGAGACACATCTGAGTGGCAACATTGGGATGCCATGCAACTATCTTACTTTTAATCTGGAAGAAATTTCATATTTGTGTACAGGGTGTTTCATAATGACCGCATAATGTGTATTTTTGCAAAGTAAAACATTATAGCATCAAAACTACATGCAGTAAAAATAACATCAAAATAAAAGATCGAGTATGAACTTAAATGAGGAGATGTGCAATTTTTGTTTACATCATGAACATCTTATCAAATTAATAGAGATCGAAGCATCAGAGGAAATTGGAAAAAATTACATTGAGACTATATATGCACATGACTTGTACTTATTTAGAATAAACTCAACACAAACTTACTCTTGACATGCTATCACTGACTTTAATGATAGGTTCATTTTTCCTAAGATCCCACACAACACATCTGTTTCCAAATGTTGACCCCAGTATATGTTGAACCTGTCTGTTCCAGGCAAGACAACTGACATCATCAGGGGGTTGGGATGTAGCCCCAGGGGTCATGGGGTTGGCAGTGTTGTTGAGATCCCAGATAAATATTTCTGATTCACTGCCTCCAGATGCCAAAAGATTGGACTGGAAAAGAATAAGCTCAGATAAAAATATGTGAATAGCAAACACCAAACATTCAAAGAACTGGATGCTACATCGAATTCAAAATTTGTATAATTTGACATTTAACTTGAATAAGTTGAGATTCTGTTTGCAAATGCATGAACAGTTGATCATTTTAAAAAATCAACAAAGGTTTGTATTTGGCATTATTTTCTAACTTATGTATTTTTGAGAAGGTTTTATTTATTTGTGAATTTATAATTTGTGTAGTAGCACCACAATCACTTGTATATTAAAGACAACTTTAAACCATAGAATCATAAAACAGGGAATAAAAAATTGATGAAGCCAGGTACACAATTTCTTTGACCTTCTCTGTGCAGTAAATAACCTTACCTGGAAGGTATTAAAATCTAAAGCAGCTACATTCCCAGAATGCTTTGTAAGATGATGCACTACAGCCTCATCTTTTTGTATAATTTTAGCAGGGTCCCAGATAAACAGGTTTCCATTGTCAGAGCCACCTACTAGGACACCAGATGCTTGATCTGGGCCCGAAGAACCACCCCATACAAGTTTGTGGAATCTAAAAACAATAAAATATGAATATTATCCATTTTTTATCTAAAGATATATAACACATTAATTTGAAGTTCCGAAATGTCAAGACAAAACAAAAGTTGAATTCTAATGCAATAGATACAGCTTGTAAAGTTTAAGAGACAAAAAGTGATTTTTTGTAGTAAAAATAAAATTCTTTCTTTCTGAATGTTCAAAACTTCTTTGGTGAGAACCTCAAATACTTCAAGCACAAATACATTTCAATATAAATGTGATATTTGATTTACTAACCTGTGGTCAGCTGGTAGAGTTCCTACCATGTTCATTCCCATTCCAGAGTCTCCCAGGTTTAATTCATACAGCTCCAAAGCTGCACTAGTGCTACAAATGAAAGAATTGATAAAACAATATATTATAATAATTAAAATCTTTTCTTAACTTAAAGATACCAAAGAGGTGTAACTAGGCCATTTGTCAGTGATATTATAATTTGATCTCATAAATGCACTTTTTTATTAAAAGATCATTTTTTAAGATTTTTTTTCTCTAGAAAAGTAATGTTTAAATACACTTGTCACACCTAAAATTCAACAATTGAGTCTAGTCTACTCAATATGTAAAATGGCAAAATTTTCATTTTCTATCATGTTACTAGCAACTCATTTGTTTCAGAACTGATCCCAATATGCTAAATAAATGAGTTCTGCTCTTACCTGAATGTTGCATCAAGCTGCTGAGCGGCTGTGCCTGTTGCCAAGTAGACAGGGTATTGTTCCTGGGGAGACCATGCCACATTGGCTGTCCGCTCTATCTCCTTAATCTTCATTGTGGACAACTACCTCCCTCTCTCTCTCAGTCTAGAAAATATTCAAAATGGTTGTTAATGTGCTTTATTTTGTACTTCTACAAGATTATATTTTATATTTATCTCTCGATATTCTATATTGGCACTCGACTTTGTCTTGTTTTCTGGAGCAGAATATATCCTGTATTGCACTTCGAATCATTCAATAATTAGAGGTTATGTCACTATCGTGGCATATATGCCCGAGGTCTCAGTGATATATGGCCCGACCTTGGGAGGGACATTGATCTCTGAGAACCGAGGGCATATGTGCCACGATAATGACATAAACGATTTATAACATACCTATGATTATGTAGACTGGTCAGAGAGTACTGTTTTCTTATAGAATTGACAAACAAATGGTTTGAAAATGATTGAAATGAGTTTAGAAACATTGCTTGCGCAGTTTATCTTCGATTGATTGGTTATGACGTCAGCGCCTTGACCAATCAGAAAGTTAGCGGGCGCGGGCTTTTCAAAACTTATATTGGCCCGCTGTCTTGTGTACACTTTGCACTATACATCATCATAGGTATGTTATAACTTATAGTATTGCAAAGGAGATGACATAGTAAAAAAAAAACATGCACAGAGGCAGATAACATTTTTTTTAGTATGAGAACATGGACTTTCACTAGATCTCCGAATAAAACAAGAGGATTTTGATGAGCATCAGGGAAGATGCCATGTTAAATATATTTGTAAGAATTTCACATTGAAATATGTTACTCAGTGTAAATATATTGATCCCCGAGTTTTGAGCAGCAGTGTATAATGCCCCCATTATTGCAATTTATTAAACAGGTACAGAAATACCTCTAACTACTATCTTAATTAATTTGCAGCTTGACCAGTATAAAATAAAATTGATCTATAGCTTAAGGTAATTATGCATTTTCAGAAATTTTATGGCTTCCTAATTGATTAAAATGTACATGACTGTATTGAGGTATAATCGCTCGTGAATGGCCAATATGGCCCTGAATTGAAAGGCGATCTATTTTCCTTTTCATGTCCACCATTTTTGTTTCAGACAATTTTCTAAAATTTTGAAAATTGTATCAGTTAGAGCAATATATTGGGTACATTTTCTGAAAAATTCAAAAAATTCTGTTCAGTGACCTTTCCCGAGGGGATACTTTTAGCTCTTATTCAGTCACATTTTCAGCAGGCTGAAAAAGTTATTTCATCATGTTTAGGGTCATTCTGACCATGGACTTTGTGATCCTGGTCCTGTAAATGATGTGTGGAACTATTTGAATTAACAGGAGGTCAAAACAGAACTCTGTTATCTTTGTTCAAAAAATGTCTAAAAATGCCACATTTTTTGTCACGTCCTATTTTGTCATTTCCTGTTAAGTATCACTGCACCTTAAAGCCAGGGTGTATGTTGGGATTTTTTTGCAATTTTGAAAAGTAAACCACTGAATAATCTTATTCAAACATTCTGAAGAATTGTCAACCCTCAATTAATAGTCTAGCAGGGCCGTCAGATGGGGGGGGGGGGGGGGTGCGATGGGTGCGACCGCACCCCCCTTTGTCACCCCCCAAAATAAATTTGAAAAATATTTTTTTTGTAATTTTTTTTTCATTGACTCATAAACTTTGAAAGTACCCAGAAAGCACCAAATAGCATCTTAAAACTAGGGGTATTGGCCACCCCTCACACCCCCCCCCCACAAAACAATGGAAAAGTTCTAAATTTATTTTAGAGTTTTGTCTCAAGACACTTTCTAAGTGCCCAGATATCATCAAATAGCTCCTTGATATAGTTAGTGTTTCTGGGGGACTTACTCCCCCTCTTGCATACCCCCCCCCCCCCCTTCTGGCGCCCCCTCCCCCTTGACCCCCCCCCCCAAAAAAAAATGATTTTCTCAAATTCTTTAATTGACTCATACACTTTGAAAGTGCCCAGAAAGCACCAAATAGCGTCGTAAAATTGATAAATTTTCTAAGGGGAGTGGGCCACCCCTCACACCCCAAACAAAACAATGGAAAAGTTCTGAATTTGTTTTATGTATTGTCTCAGACACTTTTAAATTGCCCAGACAACATCAAATAGCTTCTTGATAAAGTTAATGATTCTGGAAGACTAACACGTACTCGCCCACTGGCATCCCCACTCCACCTCCCCCTCTTGCAGCCCTCCTCCCTTAACACCCCCCCCCCCAAAAAAAAAAATTGAGATTTTTCAAAATTTTTTATTGACTAATACCCTTTGAAAGTGCCCAGAAGGCACTAAATAGCATCTTAAAATTGTAAATTTTTTTTTGGGAAATAGGCACTTTTAGGCACAGACAATTTTAAAGTGCCTAAACTTCATCGAATAGCACCTTGATATTGTAAATTTTGATATGGGGGACAAACACTTGCTCCCCCTCTGGCACCCCAGCCCCACCTCCCCCTCTGGCATCCCTCCCCCCCTTTGACACCCCCAAAATTTGAAAAAAATTTGTGATTGTTTTTCAATGTTTTTATTGACTAATACACTTTAAAAGTGCCCAAAAGCACCAAATATCATCTTTAAATTGTAAAATTTTCTAGGAGAATTAGCCACCCCTCACATCCCCCACAAAACAAAATAAAATATTCTGAATTTCATGTATTGTCTCAGACATTTTTTAAGTGCCCAGACATCATCAAATAGCACCTTGATATGGTCAATATTTCTGGGGGACAATCCCTTGCTCCCCTACTGGCACCCCACCCCACTTCACCCTCTCATCCTCTTTGAGACCCCCAAAAGAATTTGAAAAAAATTCACATTTTTCTTATTGACTCATAACGCACAGGCGTACCAGATGGTTGCAAATTCGCTCCAAATACACAACCAAATTTCAAAATTTTCCTGGTGGAGAACCCTCAGACCCCCCTGAATGCTCGGTTTTTGATTCACTCAACTCTTATACCCGTGGTGGTGGCGTACTACTTAGAAACTTACACTTTGGGACTTGGAATTGGGAGTGCCCAGAAAGCACCAAATACCATCTCAAAACTGTAAAATTTTCTAGGGGGAGTGGACCACTCCTCACACCCCCCACAAAACAATTGGAACGTTTGGAAGTTGCATGCATTTGTTAATTCCAAACCAATATAGGGAGTAACTGACCCCCCCCCCCCTCTGTCTTACGCGATTTGATTTACGCGGCAAAAAAATGACAATTTTATATTCTCTTTAGTAAGCTAAAAACCGCACCCCCCTTGGAGAAAAGTGTCTTACGGGCCTGTCTAGGTATACTAATGCATCTTTTGTGCAAGAATAAAAGATGTAGATGTGTGGAATGAACTATGTTTATCTGAAATTAGCGCATGGTCATGAAATTTCATCAAAGTGCACCCTGACCTTTATTAGTTTTGCTTGTCAAAACAATAACTTTTACGTAATAATGGAGGTTAGACCGAACTGTTGGGGCCATAGGACATGTCAGATAAGAATTGAGACCCCAGACTAGGTCTTGTGTTGTTAGACTAGTCACTAGATACGCTGTGAGTCGGCCTATCATATCATTTCCTTATTCTTTACGATAAGAAATAACACTTCTTTGATCAGACCTATAGTTATACAAATTATGTTTCTCATAGATCAGTATTAAAATGAGCATGAGGAAATGGGTAAGAATTTTTCGTTCATTTCTAGATTCCAAGTCCAGTCTGAAATAATCTTACTGAATCTGGCAAAAATTGAAAAAAAAATCAAAAATAAAAATATTGTCATTGTTCAAAGTGTTGAAGCAATAAATCCACAAGATATTCGGTATGCATTGATGTAATTATAGAATTCTTGTAAATAGTAGTATTACTTACATGCACGTATCGGTCGGTATCTTTTCAGAATAAGAAATAAAACGTAATTTAGTCCACGTATCTGTAAAACTTTGAACGTGGCAAATGATGTCGGTCTTCCCACAATCCAACAATATCCGGTCTGGAGCATCTAGTTTTTAGTTTTCAGCAGATACTTCGCTCAGTGCGCTGATCATACTGCCCGGGAATATCGTTTCTCCTGAAACACGTTAGAGCTGTTCCTAAGCTAGAATGATTGTTTGTCTCATTTAAAATATTTCATGAGGTACACCATTTACTGTTGTGTTTTGAGATATAACATGCCTTTTTGCTAGAAGTGCTTTGATGGGTATTCAAGCATCATTGATAGCTACAGACAATGTCTTTTAGTTCGCCCATGCAATAGTCAGAAAGATAATGAATTGTTTGAGAACTACTTTTGACTGTAGATGAGAAAAGCATGTCAAAGAATGACAACAAAGATTTGGGCAAACCTTCACAAAATCTTGAAATATAAAGTGAGAGAGAGAGGGGTAAGAATGCAAGACCACTTGATCTTATACAGGGTGTCTCAAAATTGTGCTCAAAAATATATTAACAACAAAGTCGGGGCAGTGACATGATAAAATGTCACCATAGTTGCCACATTGGTTATGAAGTCAATCTTAGCAGATTTGAATTTCTGAGAACTTGTAGATGATCCCGGGTAGATGATTTTGAAAACAATTGGTCAATTTGAGGAAAGTTGAAAATAGACATTTTTTGCCTTGAGAAGGTCATTGAAGGCCAAGTCTTAAATCTTTTAACTTTTGGCAACTGAGATGATTTTGAAAAATCGGTCAATTTGAAGCAAGTTGAAAAAATACCTTTTTTGATCTTGAGAAGGTCATTGAAGGTCAAATCTCGATTCTAAAATCAGATTTGAACTTCTGAGAATTTGTAGATAATTTTGAAAAATTGGTCAATTTGAAGCAAGTAAAAAAATACCTTTTTTGATCTTGAGAAGGTCACTGAACGTCAAATCTCAAATCTAAAGTCAGATTTGAACTTCTTAGAACTTGTAGATGATTTGGGAAAAATGGTCAATTTGAGGCAAGTTGAAAAAATACCTTTTTGACCTTTTATACCTTGATAAAGTCAGTGAATGTCAAGTCTAAAAATCACATTTGAATTAATCATCAAAAGGGGCTAATAAACCAAGGTTTTTAGAGAACTTTAAACATTACATCAATGGAGGTTTGGGCAAAGTTTTTCAAAAAGTTGAGATAGTCATGGAAAATAATTTAAATACTATAGCTGTATATATTCCCCTGAATTGAAATTAAAGTAAGGTAAATCATAAGAGGTCCAATAGCAAATGTCTTACAGTCTCAAGCTTTCAAAAGTTTTATCGAAAGTGCACTATCGCACTATCACAAGATCATACATGTATATTTTTCGCATTAATAACATAATATTACAAATATTGTAAACTCACATTTAAACAGCGGAAAAAGGAACTACATCTTTTCACTTCATTATGAATGCACTTTCCAAAAGACATGCATAATTATTTTACCAGGGGTTAATTTAGGGTAATAAAAGAGGGGAGTGCAACAATATCCTTACACTTCGACACACCTGTACGCACTTCAGTATGCAATTTTCTTAAACTTCTTCTCATTGGATAAAAAAGAATATTGAAATCAGTAGGACAGAATGTTGAATAACGCACCTAAACATTTATATAATATAAGGAAGAATATTTTGTTGGTATTCTGAACCAAGTCAAGATTTCAAGTGCAAATCCTATTGGAAATTCAAAGTGACATATTTTGTAAGTATAATTTTGAAGTTTCTTAGTCACATTTTAATGTAACATAGCAATAGCATTACTGCATGTGTAGCGTCACAACTGCTTCATTATTCGTAATGATTTGGTTCCTTATACGAATATAATATGTAACGTTTTCGCATGAGAAAGGCCAAATTACAAACACATGATCTAACAAAATGAAATAGGCGAATTGATCCTAAAAATGGTATCGGTATATTTGTTAGTACAAGAAATGTTGTGTACAATTAACAATTTATTATTTAACAGGTCAGCGGTTATCCTGGGGTCTATTTCTCCAAAATTAGTTTAGAACTACAATTCTATTGTTGTTCCTAGGATTTACAAACAACTTGCATTTCTTGAAAATTAGTAACTTTGCGAAGATAAGTAAGTTACTAAATAATGATGTCATCTGCGATTTTTATCGCAACTTTTACAAAAAATGTTTTATAGGCCTTGTATGTCTTTCGTAAGTCATCCTTATCTTGACCCCAATACTTTCGTTTTTACAGACATTATAGAACACAGATAGATTAGATATTCAAGAAATTCATTGAGGTCCGATATCCATATCATATGAATTAAAATCCATTTACAGCGATGAGCTGTTGATATAATTATGGACTATGTTTACTCACATGCTTAGATGTTATCGAATTGGAAACTTTTACAAACTTTCGAGAAATACAATTTGCGATTTCGTAACTTTGTGAAACTTACTAACTTTACAAAGTTTAGAGAAATAGACCCATGTGAATTTAATGACAAGATTTAATTTGTGTGGTGCCCGCACGTACGCCCGCCTATCAACACAAAACGACGGTCATATAGCACTTTTTCAAAGTGCGATAAAAAAAAGCCATGCCAAATCCAATGGTGTGTACGTACAGTGGCCATATGAGATTTTTATCATGTAAAGTTCAGGGCAAGTTCTTTTACTAAAATGCACCATTATCAGAAAATAATTGTTACGCGGTAAACACGATACAAATACAGTCATATACCGCAACGAATATGGCATATTCAATGCAGTGTATGAAAGATCCACCTGCGGTATATGGCATACTCACTAACCAAGTATGCCATATACCGCAGATGAGTATGGCATATTCACCCGTATCACAAATACCACGCAACCATGGATGTATGCCATATTCCGCGTAACAAGAATCGCAAAAATATTGTCTAGTAAACTGGAACTACTTTATTCGTTAATTTTCATCGGCGAAGTAAGGATTTTATCTAAAAATGAGTCCCTTTCATGGTGAAGCGATATTATAAAAATCGAGACCCCAAAACTATGTACTCGAAAATGGCGATATATAATATATCCAGTTTTCAATGAATTACCATAGTGACACCTTTATCGATATCCTATATGATATTTGGCATTTAAACGTATTTCAAAAAATTACGGTTCTATGTCTTGTTCCTAAAATACTGTTAAATTGACAATTAAATATAAACGATATTGGCCCAAGAGTATTTGAGTTATTGCCCAGACGCACAGACGCTTAGGCGGACGAAGCCGCTCACTTCGTTCGACGGGATAATAATACTTAGAATGCACCCGAAGGCTTTACAATAACGAACTCCTTGTTTTATACCATCTTATTTATCATAATGGTTATGAAAGGTCTGGGGGCACTTTTAAATACTCATAATGACGGATCCTTTCTAATCAAAAGATTGGTATTTAAAAAAATATATTATAAAATCTGATATCTGCATTGCCACTAAGAAATAATATATATGACACTTTCATGACGTGAGTGGGTATTAAAGACCATTTATCAAAACAAATAATAGCTGTAAGATTTTTAATCACAATTACTTCTTCAGTACTCCCTTTCCAAACACTTAGTTTGAACATAAGTCTGTTCTCATGTCTTTCGTCGAATTTGTACAGGTTATTGTAGTTTTGTTATATTTTGGTATTTTTATGCTATTAAATAGCAAAATCGTATTTGTAGCCTAATATAATTATAAATGAAAATGAAATCCACCTCGGTGTGGGAATAATAAAGATACATACATCAATCATATTTTTAAAACAAGAATCGGATATAAAGATCTAGAGGATGACAAAAGTGTTATTAACATCATGGACCTATATCCTATAGGTATAGATATAGGTCCATGTTAACATCTATGATTTTCCATCAGAAGTGGTCTTTACTAGTGTGAATGCAAAATGTAAAGCGATATCGATCCGTTTTATTTCCCCTTTTAAGAAATAAACACTTTTTTTATTAAAAATATTTATTCTCTAACTTAAAATCAATACATAATTAATAACATTGAGATTTTAATACAAAGAATCATCCCTAAAAAATTTTAATCGATCCGTCTAACCATCGTGAGATATCACAGACTTCTCTCAGTGTCCTTCTAGAATTCTTGTGCATAGCAGAGATGGTCTGAGTATCAGAATGCCGTCTAACGGTTCTCTTGAAAACTCATGGACAAATTAAAATCACCGTTCCACAGCTGGATGATTCTAACTGCAGTTAGCTTCATGGTTGCCGAGGTTCTTTCATTTTCGATAAAAGATTAACAACAGTGCTTATAGGCTATAAAAATGTAATACGATGTGGCGGAACAGGTAGTATTTACAAGAAATTTCAGTTAAAGAATTTTCACACAATTCTTTTTTTAACTGAGAAGCTGCTGCTTATTCGCAGAGAGATGAACCAGCACATGCAATGACAAATATGTCAATCGTGCTTCTACAGGAGAATTCGTCGGAAGTCTTTTAGGATCTAATACCACTGGTCAGTATCAAGCGAAGGTAACCGCCGTAACCTTCGCATCAAAGATGGCGGATGGTCCGAGCGGATGGTCAGTGTCGATTTTTAGATTTCATTGAATTAAACTAAACACTTTTCATCGAAGGTAACTGGGATTTTGGTTTTACAAATGATAAGATAACTGATATGCGGTGATGCGGTAACGTTATGAGAGTTTACAGTGGAGAGTTAAGATGTCCACTTACCACGTAAATGTTAAGCGGTGGAAGATATCGTTGAACTGTGGCGCCCATGCATGATACATGAACAAATTATCATACTTAGAGTTCCCATGTCAAATAAACCTGATTTGATTCAAATATCAAAGCATCACGTCAACTATTTAGTAGTTTAATTCGATGAAAACTAAAAATATTGAAATCGACCATCCGCCATCTTAGATGCGAATGTTACGCCCGTTACCTTCGCTTGATACTGGACCAGTTAATACGAATCTAAATACAGATTAAAATGTTTCTTACTTTATACAGGTACACATTTCTTTGTTTAATTAAAAATAAATAAATAAAAATAACTTTGATAAATGTGGCGGAGCAAACATTGCAGCGGAGCAAACATTGCAGCGGAGCAAAAATGATTTTATCAGAATATTAAACTGGTCTTTGTTCAATACTCAATCGGCAGGGCGCAGGCCGATGAATCGGATCTTATGTGGGCTAGGCATAAGGCAGAACAGCGTTGATAAGTGATTAATATATTTTTTATGATATGTTATGATTAAGGAACTTTTTTGTTTCCTTGAGTGTAAGATCATTGTTTGAAATGTTGGGCCGTGTATCCAGATAATGTTTCTTGCTGCATTTTTAAATACTTTTCCACTTATTGGCCTAAAATAAAGATGAAAAACAAAAATGGACTTTTCAAAATGGTAGTCTGGAGTGGGTCCAAGAAAAGTGGTCTAAAATATTCAAAATGTTTATTAATAAATTCAATTTAAAGGTCCTGAGAACAAAGTATTAAACAAGTTAACCTGATACCTGCTATCAAAATTTTGATTGTTTTTTTTTCAGCAAAATGTCTTCTACAAAGTTCATCTTGATTGCAATTTTCTTCATCCTGTTATACACCACAGTAGCCAAAGATATTGGGGACCTCGAGAACAAAACCGATGCATTTGATACAAACTCTGGTACTAATGAAGTCAGCACAGCAACACAAATCAATATGAACATTATCACAGAACAGACTACAACAATAACTGATATGAAAGATGATGGTGCAAGATATACAGCACATAAAGATATTGAGGACATTACCGATTACAACACTGATGCATTTCTTTCCATGTCCAATTCTTATGAAAACAGCAAAGCAACAGTAATCAATGTGGATGTTATCACAGAACAAAGTCCAACAACAACAGATACGAAAGATGATGGTGCAAGATATACAGCACGTAAAGATATCGAGGACATCGAGAGCAACACTGATGAATTTGATACAATATCTGATCCTTATGAAAACAGCACAGCAACAGGTACCAATACAAGCAGAAACACAGAACATATTAATATAGCAGCTGATATGAAAGATGATGGTGCAAAATATACAACACATAAAGATATTGAGGACATCAGTGAGAATAACACATATGCATTTCTTATGACATACATGTTTGATCCTCATGAAAACAGCACAGAAACAAGTATAACTACAAGTAGTAGCACAGAACAGATTAATGAAACAACTGATATGACATGTATGAAGGATGATGGTGTAGAGCCTATAAATGACACAATCAAAATAACTGACAATGACAACCGAAATGAAAATCTGAATGGTGATGAGAGAGATTCAGACAAACTAACCAATGAAAACAATGTGAGTTCTCCTTATCCCGAAGCAAGTGCAAATGAAAAAAATGAAAAAGATGGACTTAATGTATCAACATCCAATGAAATAGAATCTACAAAGACAAATGAAACTGTTGCACAAGAACATACAATAGACGATTATTTGGTGTATGTGATATTTAAATGGGTATTTAAAATAACCATGCCTTTATGCTTAATTATTGGTATCCCGGGCAATATTCTCAACATTACTATCTTGTGTCGGAATCGATTTAGTGATAGCTCTCCATCCATTGACATCATCCTAATGTCCCTTGCTGTTTCTGATATTATAAGTCTTGCAGTGGCCATCCCACGTTACATCATCTCCTATGTAGCAGGATATGACTTTACAGCTCATTCAGATATTGGCTGTAAACTCTTCAAGTTTCTCAATTTTGTGTTTTCTGATTTTTCATCTTGGCTTGTCATGCTCATATCTCTGGAAAGGTTAGTCGCAGTCGTCTGGCCTTGTCACGTGAAGTCTTGGTGTAGTCACAAAAAGATAAAGATAATCATTGCTACTTTTCTGGTATTTCTCATTGGAATTAACTTCCATTTTTTATTAGGGCACGGTACTGTTCAACAAGTAAGTCACACGAACACGCAGATCTTTGGCTGTTCAGCTAGGGAACCTGAATTTATGTATTATCATGCGGTTATTTATCCCTGGATTGATTTTACAGTTTTTGCTCTTATTCCAATTTCTGTTGTGGTATTTTCAAACATGTGCATCATTCGAAAGGTCAGCATTGCAGCTTATCAAAGACGCAAAAAGATGGCGGCGAATTTGGCCAACCCAACAACTTTTACAAAGAAAAAAAAACCTGTAATCAAACGTGTGACAATTATGATGTTTTTAATTTGCGGTTTCATGCTTCTTGCTATCATTCCATCTGTCATTTATGAAATTACGTTTGCATCTTTGAAACAAAAAGGTGATCTTAAAAGTTCAGTTATTCTGGCTGTAATTGCATATTATGCAATCGTTTCATTTTACTGCAACTGTTCTATAAACTTTTTGCTATACGTATGTTGTTCACAGAAGTTTAAGTTAGCACTGAAAAGTTTCTTTTGTAGATGTACTACAAATAGTCTTGAAGAATAAGACATCGGTGTTAAAGTGTTGTTGAGACCAGGATGTGAACATGTTATGTGTACGAGTTATCAGATTATGTTTTTTACGAAAAAAATGGCAGCCATTTTGAAACTCAGGTGCCATCTTGGAAATTTCTTCTTGAGCAAAGCTCCTTTCCGTCAACTGGTATTTGGGTAAACAAAGATTACATTTTAACAAAAAATGGCGGCCATTCTGAAAAATACCTTCCATCCGGAAAATTTCTTCTCAAGCAGAGCTCCTTTATCTCTAAGCATCAGCATATAAAATTTGAACCAAATCCATCCACTGGTATTTTAGTTATCAAAGATTACCATTTTTACGAAAAATGGCAGCCATTTTGAAATTCAGCTGTCATCTTGAAAATTTCTTCTCAAACAGAGATCCTTTATCCCTAGGCATATAAAGCTTGAACCAAATCTGTCCACTGGTGTTTGAGTTATCAAAGATTAAATTTTTTTACAAAAAATGGTGGCCATTTTGAAATTTGGTAGCCATCTTGAGTCTTCTTGAGTGGAGCTCCCATGTCTCTAGGCATCCATCAACGGTATTTGAATTATCAAAGGTTATGTTCTGTTAGGAAGAATGGCGGCCATTTTGAAATTCAGCTGCCATCTTGAAAATTCTTTCATGACCATATCTCCTGAGTCCCTAGGTATCAGCATATTAAATTTGGGCTGAATCTGTCCTCTGATACTTGAATTATCAAAGAATACATTTTTTATGAAAAAATAGCCGCCATTTTGAAAATTGGTGGCCATCTTGAAAATGTCTTTTTTGGCAAAGCTCCTTTAAAGCTCCTAAAATTTGAACCAAATCCGTCAACTAGTATTTGAGTTAACAAAGATTAATTTTTTAAAGAAAAATGGTGGCCATTTTGAATTGAGTGGCCATTTTGAAAATTTCTTTTTTGAGTTATTGCCAGGACAAACAAACGGAAGAAGGTCAGATGAACGGATGGCTTTCCTATATCCCTCTCGAACTTCATTCGGTGGGATAGTGACACCAGTCAATGAAGTTAAATATGAATGACAACCCCCATAAAAAGTTTAAAATGAAGACTGAAGTTGATGGTTGTCACATCTTTTGGAAATTTCACATTACAATATCTATTATAAACTACACTAAAACATGATTTTAATTGAAATACGGTCAGTGTGTATATTGTCTTTAGAAAATATCTATCACAGTTTTGTGTAAATAAATATGGATTTATTTGAAGAATACAGTAGAACCTGTATATCTGAACACCTGGCTAATCCGAACACCTCCCAATCTGAACACTTTTTTCGGTCCCATTTTTTCCTCCCATTGACTGCCATGTTAAAAAACCTTGAAATGTGAACACCTCCCAATTTGAACAGTGAACAGTCATATTTGAAAAATTCACCTGTCTAATCTGAACACTTTTCATAAAATTTCTAATGTTTTATACAAAATTGCTCAAATTTTGTCATGATATCAAAACTTTGGGAAATAATCTTGAATGGTCTCATTCATAATGGGGCTTTCCGGCATGATTAGATTCATTTGAATCAAATTTTCAAATTTCTGGAATGCCATAAAGCTATGTGGTAAAAAGAACTATAAATATTTACCGAGAATGTGTTCACATTTCTTCAGAATCCGGATTATTGCGGATGCAAAAACCTCGAAATGTGAACACCTCCTAATCTGAACGCTTTTATCCGGTCCCAATGGCGTTCAGATTAGACAGGTTTTACTGTAGATAAAACAGGTCTATCAATTAAATTTTGAGAAATAATCATTATATCAAGATTATTATTACTTTTATTTCAAGTTTAAGATGTAAGATAATGGCACAAGTCGGAGACTTCATTATTTTGAACATTTGGCTGATAGTGATAGCAAACTACAATAATGAAACAATAAAAAAAATCAATGAATATAGACATTATATGTGAAGTTATAAACTTGTTGTATACGTAATAAAAAATTGGAAATAAATGATCTTTAAGACTTTATATATTTAATACCTTTTGAATAACTATCACAGGCAGAAGTGAAAATATATACTGTATCAAAGTCTTAGTTCTGAATTCAGAAGGCAAGTTCCTATAACCATTTGAATTCTGTTCTGTGCAGGTCCAGGAGCTAGGCCAATGAGCTCTCTCTGGAAAAATGCATGGTCTGGATAATGTAAAAAGTACGCTGCATGTTGAAATTCTTCTGGGATAACTTTCCTCAATGACATTATCCCATTCTATGAATCATTCACAGCATATATTCACTACAGGTTTTCTCCCAATGGAGTCATATTCTTTCACAAAAGCCACACGACTTCAGGTAGGGACCCATTGTAGTAGTTCTCATAACAGGAATGGCATGGTGGAATCTAACAGTGCATCATGTTGCTATTAAAGATTTCACAGTTGTTGCAAGTTCTCTTAATTTGCTTTCTTCACTATTGCAAAGTTCCGAAATGACTGTAATAAACTCACTGTTGTTTTGCATTAGAGTTTTTAGCGTGCCTGAAAATAAGTGCACATTAACTTAAACATCAACATTGAAAATATAATCAATCAGTGATTGAAAATGTTAATCTATTTCAGTATTTTTGTCTTGTATCATTTTTTTTTATAAATCTAAAATGTATACTTTATTCATATAAATACTTGGATTTTGTTCATTCTAAGAACATACTAGTATTTAATTTTGTACAGTGGATATACACAATTACATCTTAACTACACATAATATACATATTTTTTAGGAATATTGAACAATTATAACATACCTATGATGATGTATAGTGCAAAGTGTACACAAGACAGCGGGCCAATATAAGTTTTGAAAAGCCCGCGCCCGCTAACTTTCTGATTGGTCAAGGCGCTGACGTCATAACCAATCAATCGAAGATAAAACTGCGCGAGCAATTTTTCTAAACTCATTTCAATCATTTTCAAACCATTTGTTTGTCAATTCTATAAGAAAACGGTGCTCTCTGACCAGTCTACATCATCATAGGTATGTTATAAATCGTTTATGTCACTATCGTGGCACATATGCCCTCGGTTCTCAGAGATCAATGTCCCTCCCAAGGTCGGGCCATATATCACTGAGACCTCGGGCATATATGCCACGATAGTGACATAACCTCTAAATATTTCACTCTATTGAGGTGAATACCTGTACATCTTTCACAAGTGATATTCCACGAAGCCCTAAGGGCAAGTGGAATATCACCTTGTGAAAGTGCTACAGGTATTCACCAAAAATAGTGTGAAATATTTGTTTTATTATATCACTGTCTAGCTAAACATCCCTAATATTATTAAGTCATAGATTAACATTGAAATACATTGAATCTACTCGGTTCGTCTGCCATTTTGACTTACACTGAACTAAATTATTTACAGTCGAAATGTTGAGGCATGCGCAGACCTCTATTTAGTGATATTTTCATTTCAAATATGGCGGCCAATCCGATGTCTGACGACCCTTACAAAGAATCTAGGCAGTTTGCATTTTTACCTCCTGTGAAATAACAAGTGGAATTTAGTAGTTGTTTTGTGTTTTATTATCATTCTGCATCGTAATTCTATGTGATGTGGTGTTGAAATGTCAGCAGAAATACATATCCATACGATAATCGAGTGAATCAGATAACAGATTTTTCGAAAAAACCGTCTCGTGCTAAGAGTGTAAAAACTTGTATTAACATGCTCAAAAGTGCCAATGTGCACATCAATGTCAAGCTAAATCAATGTTGTGTCTAAAACATGTACCCGATCTACTCAATACAGCTTGTCGTTCACGTATACACACTTAGCAAACACGGCGAAATGACCTGAATCTTGGAATTTCGTTCAAGAGCTAGTAATGTTTGCTCCGGTCTTCGTCATAAGTGTTCATCAGACTTCACGCATGCGCAGGACAAAAACCATCAACCAATAAGGTTTATAAATCAATTTTGCGCATGCGCCTTACAACGGTAAAGAAATTCGTATTTATAAACGAACCAGTTTGAGATAACCCGATATCAGTCGGAGAAATCTGACGATCTACGAAACTCACTTCAAAAAATCAAATGCGGACTGACGGCGTATTCTACTATGTTTGGATCTAAGATTTTCAGTATAGATAAAGTCTTTTATGATCTTTCGAATGAAGTAAGTCTCTAGTTCGAAAGACAATCGTATCAACTTGAACAAAAGTTGAGTTTTGACGAAAAATTTTAACATGCGCAGAAGTCCCATTTTCGTTGTACCATATTGACTGTTTACACTGAACGAAAACAAATTCTTTGAAAATTCCCGGGAGCTTGGGATATCGCTAGATATCTCACGGTTGTCTTATCTGATTAGCATTGCCATTGAATATCGCCAGATATCCCACGACATGTGACCCGGTTTTGACCAATCATACTGTCGCTAGCTAGATAGTGATATAATAATGTTATTTATTTCCATATTATTCAACACAATTATTTACATAAATTGTGAGGGGCTGAGGCTATATAGCATTATTGGCCCCTCCTACACATAATATATTTCATGAATATTTATTACATACCATACAGGATGGGGCAAAAATGTCAATTTTTTAAAGGTCTGGTATTCAACCTAAACGAGCTATCGACCTAAGAGCTCTTCAAATGTAGTTACCTTCTTCTTGAAGTTTTGCACTCAAGGTAAGAGTATTTTCTTTAATTTCTGTCAATGTCTTCTCATCAGACAATAATTTTGTGACAGTTTCTATGACATTACACTCTGATAGAGGTTCTTTGGCTTCAGCTGAAAAAGATCAATGCTACCATTACAACATGTTTAATGAAAACAAAGTATTATAAATAAAATAGATGTCAGGTCACAAGTATATTTCTGATACTTTGAGTTGCATTGGAAGCAAGTAAGATTTCTATTCCCAATTGTGTTCTGATATGATTCAAGATACAATTCTTTAAGATGTTTTTCTTGCTATTATCGATATAATATGATAAATATTACTGACCGAACAAACTAAATTGCATGTACAACTACCAATATGATGTACAGGCCAGGATTTGCCAAGGGGGGTTCACTTTTTGAAAAATTCCAGGGGGGGTTCACTTGTGACAATTTTGGTACAAAAATGGCCAAAATCACTTAAAGTGCTCAAAATGGTGAAAAACTGCATGATTTTGAAAGATTTTTTGGACAGGTGGGTGGGGGGGGGGGGGTTCGCTTGAACCCATCGAACCCCCCCTGGCTACAGGCCTGATGTATCACTTCACAGTTGAAGTCCTAAATTATCAAAATGACTTATTTTTATATTACCTAGTATGGAAGATGCGATGATGATTAGAGCCACAAGTGCTTCATTCTGCATGACAACATGCTCCGAAGTTGTCATGGCAACCAGATGAGACAGTCCACCATATTTGGTAATAACTTTCATGACATCAGAAGATCTGGAATGGCGTACCAGCCAGGCTAGCAGTCTCATTGATTCCCCTGCAAGTTTTTGTTCATATATTATTTCATCCATCTAAATTGACGTACATTTTGTGTTCTATTTTTTGAGAAAAAATGAAGATTATAAAACAAAAGAGATAAAATGATGATAATTGATACATGAATTGATTGCCATTGATAGTTATATAGCTCGTTTCTTGTAAGATATTTGGAGCTAAAGCATGTATGACATACATCACTTTCTTCAGAAAGCATTATACTGTGCATCGAAATCAAAATTACCAGCATAGTATTCAATAGACATGAGTATAATGATTCCAATTTACACAAACAGGAAATTGCAAATCTCCCATTCTAAACACGAAACTGAAGCTGATTGGGTATCTTAAGTAGGCTAAGTAACGCTTGTTTTGTATGTGCGCTATACTCATAAGTTATAACTGTACTAATTCATGGACTTTGCATTCGCGGTTACATTGTGGAAAAAATCGCCAGCTTAAAGTCTCCATTATCTTTTTTAGAACCATTAGACCCTGACCTTTGACCCCCGCATGATCTTCATTGTTACACCATTGGCTGACTTCCTCTATGAGACCTTTGTTTGTTCCAACTTTGATAGAAGCAGCCTCTACAATCAAACACTGGATTAAAACAGAGCAGTTTGCATTAAACATAACAAGTATCGTTGCACAATAATAAATGTTTATTATGACTAATTTTATAAAAGCTTGTGAATATTCTTTTTAAACCATCATTAGTATTCTATTTAATATCAATCATTCATTGTCATCGAATCTAGCTATTCTCCGAATCATGGGCATGTGCTTTATTGCTGAATGAATTACCAAAGTCAATGCATTATTATTACATTGTATATAAACTTAAGCCATTCTATTTGATTAAGAGATGACCCTGTAAACACAATACCTTGTCCATCAACAAGCATCCGCAACAGGCCAAGCAGTTTGAATTGTACAGGAGACATATCTGTTTTGCTAAATGGTGTAACTGTATCTATAATTCCTGTCTGCAACATGATGATCTTGTTAACAGCTGAAATAGGAAATAAAGGATTGACATACTTCTCTTATTATCGACTCATGATCACTTAATAAGGATAAATATTTCTTATTAATATGTTATAATCACTTAACATGACTAATAATCAAAGTAAATATATTTCAATTATTGGCTAATGAATTAACGATGTTGGATTTTGACACTTGAGTATAGATGGCATTATATACAATTATGTATACGTGCATGTATTAAATGTAAAATTATAAATCATTTCTGATATGATCTCATAAATAGGATCTTTTCAGCTAACCTGTATTCTTATGATAATGTATGAAGTGTTTTGATTTTTAGAAAATAGGCATGAAAAGTACGATTATAATCACTGATTAATTTATAAATATAGGGAATTAGATTTATCTGCCAAATAATTAACATGTCACTTCGACTAAATAGCACAAATTCAAACACAAGGCATTAACATGCAACATGTCATCGCCTGCCATTTGTTACAGACACCAACTGCTGAATGCCTGACAACAGCCGCCAAACACAGTCTACGAAAAAGTTGGAGACTAACAATATGTTCCCAATTGTGGTGGTGACATAATAACCAGATTATGGCATAACATACATGTAGCAACCAACTTACCTGGAATGGCGAGATTCTTTAGTGCGCTAAATATAGCATGCTGTAAAGTTACACCATCTTGATTACCATGGTTACGTAAGAGATTCAGGAGGAAGATGGTGACGCTGTCTTCTACTAATTTGATACAGTGGCTATCTGTAATAGAAATTTATGTTTTCTTTTAGTTTGGAACTTTTAGTCCCATTTGGAACATTTAATTCAAAAAGGAAGGAAATTTGAGTGGTTATACGTTTATGTATCTTTTATTCCACCATAAATGATAAGTATAATATTACATAAAGTTATTTATGATATAAGATAAGATGTTAACAGACAAAAACTCCAATAAGCTAATGTATCTATATGTCAAGATAGTTTTTATATAGTATCTGTAGTTTTTGAACTTTTCAGGCTTTATCTGTTACTATGATTAATGGGTTATGTTTTGTCTGCAATATTTAACTGCATGATGAGCCCATTATACAGCATTCTGATACTAATAACATCTTACTGTTTCACCTGAGGGCTGAGAAGAAATGAGAGGTCGTGGTTTATCATGATGATATACAGTGTTATGTTACCGTTTCTGGCATAATTGCCCACAGCTAGTGCTCCTGCTACCCTAAGATGTGCATTGTTGGAATGTAGCCACTGCATTGTACTTGTGAACACCAAAGCCTTCCCATCTTCATACCACATGTCCATACTATCATCTACAAATTGTAAAGGTGTCATTTAACCCATGTCCATACTATCATCTACAAATTGTAAAGGTGTCATTTAACCCATGTCCATACTACCATACTATCATCTACAAATTGTAAAGGTGTCATTTAACCCATGTCCATACTATCATCTACAAATTGTAAAAGTGTCATTTAACCACATGTCCATACTATCATCTACAAATTGTAAAGGTGTCATTTAACCCATGTCCATACTATCATCTACAAATTGTAAAGGTGTCATTTAACCACATGTCCATAATATCATCTACAAATTGTAAAGGTGTCATTTAACCCATGTCTATACTATCATCTACAAATTGTAAAGGTGTCATTTAACCCATGTCCATAATATCATCTACAAATTGTAAAAGTGTCATTTAACCCATGTCTATACTATCATCTACAAATTGTAAAGGTGTCATTTAACCCATGTCTATACTATCATCTACAAATTGTAAAGGTGTCATTTAACCAATTAACCCATGTCCATAATATCATCTACAAATTGTCAAAGTGTCATTTAACCCATGTCCATAATATCATCTACAAATTGTAAAGGTGTCATTTAACCCATGTCCATAATATCATCTACAAATTGTAAAGGTGTCATTTAACCCATGTCCATAATATCATCTACAAATTGTAAAGGTGTCATTTAACCCATGTCCATACTACCATACTATCATCTACAAATTGTAAAAGTGTCATTTAACCACATGTCCATACTATCATCTACAAATTGTAAAGGTGTCATTTAACCCATGTCCATACTATCATCTACAAATTGTAAAGGTGTCATTTAACCATTGTCCATACTATCAACTACAAATTATAAAGGTGTCATTTAACCCATGTCCATACTATCAACTACAAATTGTAAAGGTGTCATTTAACCCATGTCCATACTATCATCTACAAATTGTAAAGGTGTCATTTAACCCATGTCCAAACTATCATCTACAAATTGTAAAGGTGTCATTTAACCCATGTCCAACTTATCATCTACAAATTGTAAAGGGGTCATTTAACCCATGTCCATACTATCAACTACAAATTGTAAAGGTGTCATTTAACCCATGTCAATACTATCATCTACAAATTGTAAAGGTGTCATTTAACCATTGTCCATACTATCAACTACAAATTGTAAAGGTGTCATTTAACCCATGTCCATACTATCAACTACAAATTGTAAAGGTGTCATTTAACCCATGTCCATACTATCATCTACAAATTGTAAAGGTGTCATTTAACCCATGTCCATACTATCATCTACAAATTGTAAAGGTGTCATTTAACCATTGTTTAGCTATCCTGTATGGTGTAACCTTTGAAATTTTTTTTATTTTTAAAATATTTGTTTGAACATGTTCTTATCAATTTATATGCTTTCGATGGATGTATTAAAATACATGTCCTAGATATACATGAACTGAAATTCAATAATCGAGCATGGAAGTTAATAATAAATAAAACTTTATTTTCAAGTAAACAATTCATTTGTCTGGCACTCATTAATAGAGTGAAGTCCACTTGAAAAAGTCATGATACATATAGATATCCTTTAAACAGTGAAGATTGTTATTTAAAAAAATTAATATTACTGAATAGAAGAGAAAGTGAATCAGGAAGTGAAGGGAAGTTTAAAATGATTTCACAAATGGACAGATATCATAAATGTAACTAAGACAAATAACTCTGTATGTCTAACGGAGCATGTCAGCATGAGAAGTCAAACACCTTGCATTACAAGTCAAACACCTTGCATTACAAGTCAAACACCTTGCATTACAAGTCAAACACCTTGCATTACAAGTCAAACACCTTGCATTACAAGTCAAACACCTTGCATTACAAGTCAAACACCTTGCATTACAAGTCAAACACCTTGCATTACAAGTCAAACACCTTGCATTACAAGTCAAACACCTTGCATTACAAGTCAAACATCTCTATATAGCAAGTCAAACCACTAACAGGGTATATGACTAAAGTTGAAAAAGTCCTTTGCCATGAGTGAAAAGTGATTTTTATTGGCTGTCAAGCAGTTGTGAGTTTCAAGCTATGATATCATAGTAATAAGTGTAAAATTCATTGCATCATGGTTTGCCAATACTAATGCATTATCAAAATCTAATCTTAAATGTTACACAAATTAGATGTTGAAATGTTAGTTAATATGACATTATACACCTTAGCATTATCCTGTCACATGATCATATCAAAATATGGCAGTAATATCCTGTAACCATTAGGAGCACTTCAATTAATTAAGTTGAAAAATAAAATATCCCGTTGTGTACAAAAAACGTCTTGACAAGAAAACATATACAGTAAAACCTGTCTAATCCGAACACCCATGGGACCAGCCAAAAGCGTTCAAATTGGCAGGTGTTCAAATTTCGAGGATATTGTTCAGTCCACTATATTGAACACTTAATACTTAGTCAGAAAACAATACATGTTGTTGATGAGTTAATTCTACAATAGGCCTATAGCCTACATGTATATGCTATGTTTTATTTACATTTTAACAATTTCATTATTTTTGGAAAAATAACTCTTTAATTTTGGCAAAAACTTTGTAATACACTGAATAAGTATATGATAGTCTTGTACGAAATCTTATGCTTATTAAATCACTTATCTCATATTATGGTTACATAGCACTGCTTTACTTTAGCTTGAAAAAGTCGTTCATTGTTGTTTGTTTCTTGGCACTTTTAGCATTAGCAATATTTGAGTAGATACCCTCTTCAATTAAAAATAACTTTTCATGAGTGCTCATTCGAGATGATGCATAATCTTTCAAAATATCAAGGGCATTCAGGATGTCAGATGTGCCTTTTTAGGAGGCATTTTGGTGATAGGATATTACGAAGTTGAATTTTTTCTCTTTCTCGTGTTATAATCTTGTCTGCAAATGTGTCTGTGTTGTCTTTGTGATTATAAAACATTTACTGATTGAATCCTAGCTATCATAACAGACCCATTGGATATAAAACAGTTAAGACTTGTTCATAATCCAAATCAAAAACATCCAGTTAATTTAAAATAAGGATAAACCAATTATCTCCCAGATTCTCACATCTCTCTTAATCCAAATCAAAAACATCCAGGTAATTTCTAATAATGATAAAACAATTATAATCTTGTCTGCAAATGTGTCTGTGTTGTCTCTGTGATTATAAAACATTTACTGATTGAATCCTAGCTATCATAACAGACCCATGGGATATATAACAGTTAAGACTTGTTCATAATCCAAATCAAAAACATCCAGTTAATTTAAAATAAGGATAAACCAATTATCTTCTTGATTCACACCTTTCTCTTAATCCAAACATAAAACATTCAGTTCTTTTCTAATAGTTGTTTTCCACAATTAGGGATGTCATTGAGACTTAAATAAGTTAATTAGGACAATATTGGTTACATTGCATATGCATTACATTGCATATGTACAGATAATAAGAACTATAACATTGACTCAATATGTGGCTATTATTGAAATGTCCATGCAGACATTTGATTTCTGATAAAATGTTCAGATTAGACAGGTCAGTTTTTCAAATCTGGTTGTTCACTGTTCAGATTAGGAGGTGTTCAGATTTCAAGGTTTTTTTTAACATGGGAGTCAATGGGACTGTCAAGGGCATAGTCGTGGGGGCAGGGCTACTAAACTGTAATATAGTCTATACTAGGCAGAGGGTAGTTTATAACTAGACTCTGCGCTGAGGGTAAATTCAACCCTGCATGGGACTCGAACCTAAGACGACCAGATCCAAAGGATAAAGCTCTTCTGCTTGAGCTACATTAACTTACTTTAAGCAAGGGTAGCTCAGCTGGGTTGGTACAACTTGTGCTGGGTCATTATACCTTGGATACCTTGAATCTTTTTTAGTTCTTAATGCTCTGCTATATTCATTTTCTAATGTCATGCAATATACACATCTGTCTATTAGGCTCTTCCATTAGGTAGTTCTACTTTTTAACCTATCTGGCAAATGACACTAAGTGAAATTTATAAATTAAAGCTCATGAATGAGGTATTTTCATTCAACAGATTTTTTTGTATTTCTTAGGGTTTGATATGAATAACCAATGAAGTAGTATAGTATATCCTTTTGGCAATATGTATACCCATGATGTAACTTGATGTGACTTGTGGATTCTCTGAATCTCAAATAAAGGTTGCATGACCAAAAGACATTAGCCACAAAATTTGTACTGGTATTTATGTCATCAGAAAAAATTTTGAAACACATCTGACATGATATTCAAGCCATAAAAATAATATTTTTATGATAATATGGGGGCAGTTTGAACTTATCAACCATATTAGAAAAATTTTCAAGAATAGAGGAGATGTTAGCTAATTCAATTTGGACTTAAATCAAATAACTGGTTATTAAACGATAATTGGTTATCAAAAGTTATCAAACATTACAAACTGGTGGTGATTTTGAATTCAGCAGCCATCTTGAAAATTTCTTGAAAAGAGCTCCTATGTTCCTCATACATAGCCATTAGACAAAGATTACAAAAAATGGCCACCATTTTGAACCAAGCAGCCACATTGAAAATTCCTTTTTGAGTAGAGGTCCTATTCCCAAAAAGTATAAGACTATAACTTGAACCTTATTCATTGACTCATATCTGATTCATCATCCAGATACAAAATCAAACAGACAGACAGATGGACATATGGTTTCTCTATATCCCTACCAAATGTCAATTATTGGGACGTCTCAATCATTTATACAGGTAGCCTCAAAACAGAATTAAGTAAAAGACTGACCATACCAACCACCAACAAGTCATTGTTTTCTACAGGTAGCCTCAAAACAGAATTAAGTAAAAGATTGACCATACCAACCACCAACAAGTCATTGTTTTCTACAGGTAGCCTCAAAACAGAATTAAGTAAAAGATTGACCATACCAACCACCAACAAGTCATTGTTTTCTATAGGTAGCCTCAAA